GGACTACACTAGCTTTGGCCCACTGACTCTAACAGGCTTCGGCCAACTAATTCTTTCAGTGTTTGACTCACACTTTTGTAATCAAAATACCCAGTTAATTTTTAATATTTCTGACAGTTTTGCCAGGATTTCCTCTAAAATATGGCCTACAGAACCTGGTATTCATTGATTATCTCCCATCCAAGTACCAGCTAAGGTTGATGTTGCTCATCTTCTGGAATCTGTCCGGTCAGCCTCACGTCGATACCAGGCAAGATTCTGGAAAAGACTGTGAAGGAAGCGGTCTGCAAACACTTAGAAACAAATGCGGTCATCGCTAATAGTCAACATGGATTTATCAAAAACAAGTCATGCCAGACTAATCTGATCTCTTTTTTTTTGATAGAGTTACAAGCTGGGTAGATGCGGGGAATGCCGTGGATGTAGGCGTACCTGGATTTCAGTAAGGCCTTCGACAAGGTCCCCCATGACCTTCTGGCAAGGAAACTAGTCCAATGTGGGCTAGGCAAAACTACGGTGAGGTGGATCTATAATTGGTTAAATGGACGAACCCAGAGGGTGCTCCCCAATGCTTCCTCTTCATCTTGGAAAGAAGTGACAAGTGGAGTGCCGCAGGGTTCCGTCCTGGGCCCGGTCCTGTTCAACATCTTTATTAATGACTTAGATGAAGGGCTAGAAGGCAGGATCATCAAGTTTGCAGATGACACCAAATTGGGAGGGATAGCCAATACTCCAGAGGACAGGAGCAGAATTCAAAACGATCTTGACAGATTAGAGAGATGATAGGCCAAAACTAACAAAATGAAGTTCAACAGTGACAAATGCAAGATACTCCACTTGGCAGGAAAAACGAAATGCAAAGATACAGAATGGGGACGATGCCTGGCTCGAGAGCAGTACGTGTGAAAAAGATCTTGGAGTCCTCATGGACAACAAGTTAAACATGAGCCAACAATGTGATGTGGCGGCAAAAAAAGCCAATGGGATTTTGGCCTGCATCAATAGGAGCATAGTGTCTAGATCTAGGGAAGTAATGCTACCCCTCTATTCTGCTTTGGTTAGACCACACCTGGAATATTGTGTCCAATTCTGGGCACCACAATTCAAGAGAGATATTGACAAGCTGGAATGTGTCCAGAGGAGGGCGACTAAAATGATCAAAGGTCTGGAGAACAAGCCCTATGAGGAGCGGCTTAAGGAGCTGGGCATGTTTAGCCTGAAGAAGAGAAGGCTGAGAGGGGATATGATAGCCATGTATAAATATGTGAGAGGAAGTCACAGAGAGGAGGGAGCAAGCTTGTTTTCTGCTTCCCTGGAGACTAGGATGCAATGGAACAATGGCTTCAAACTAGAAGAGAGGAGATTCCATCTGAACATGAGGAAGAACTTCCTGACTGTGAGAGCCGTTCAGCAGTGGAACTCTCTGCCCCGGAGTGTGGTGGAGGCTCCTTCTTTGGAAGCTTTTAAACAGAGGCTGGATGGCCATCTGTGAGGGGTGATTTGAATGCAATATTCCTGCTTCTTGGCAGGGGGTTGGACTGGATGGCCCATGAAGTCTCTTCCAACTCTTTGATTCCATGATTCTATGATTCTGTGTCATTGGGACATCATGTCTTCATGCCCTTCAAATCACCTATATGAGTGTGTGTCTATGCACCTTCAAGTTTCATGCCAATTTATGATATCCTCATGGATTTTAGAGGGTTTTCTTAGGCAAGAAAGACTCCCAGGTGGTTTTGTCAGGTCTTTCCTCTGAAATATGGTCTACAGAACTTTGTGTTTCTTGGTTATCTCCTATATTCAAGTCCTAACCATGGTTGACTGTGCTTAGCTTTCAAGATGAGATAGGATCTGGCCCATTTATGATATTTAGATCTCAGAATATATTTACCATCCAGCAATTCAGTGTACTTGAGGATGCATTTGAGAAGCAGAACTGGGATGCATTGATGGAGGGTTTTTTTTTTTTTGTTTCCATCACCAGATGCACTGAGTTGGATCCTGGCCTGTAGTTTTTACTATGAATCCAGCCCAGCTTTGATGCCTTGGAACTAAAATACATTCTCAGCAGATAAACATATCAAAACCCATATTTCAAAGTGATTTTTTAAAAACCCAGATGAATACAAAACCAGAACAGAATTGGGGGAACTGAAGGTCAGACGTGACACAAAGCAGGAACAAAGTTGTCCCCATCCCTAAGCAATAGGATCGGGTTTTTAAAAAATGTTCTCAAAGGAACAATGAGTCATTTCATCCATTTCTTTCTTCACCTCGAAAACCAGGCAGTTTACTATTTTTTAAAATGGCTTATGTTGCTAAATGAGGAGGTGATGTTTGGACTTCTAATTTTGTGATGCTGTTTTGGGGAACCTGACAGCACTTGAACTGCCATAGTTCAATGCTACGGGATCATTCAGCAATGGGCATGTAGATCCAGGTGTTTTGGACTCCAACTCCCACAATTCCTAACAGCCTATCGATTAATCCCTATGCTTTAATTATGTTCAATTTGCAACAATGAAAATACATCCTGCATATCAGATATTTACACTACAATCCATAACAGTAGCAAAATTACAGTTATGAAGTAGCAATGAAGATAATTTTTATGGTTGAGGGTCACCACAACATGAGGATCTGTATTTAGGTTTCATGGCATTAGAAAGATTGAGAACCACTGGGATAGAGGGATTTGGAGATCTTTCATTCCATCATAAGTTGACATCGGCAGTTTATGGGCAAGAAACCCCTAGATCAGTGGTTGCCAAATGTTGCTATCAAGATGTTTTGAATTTCAAATTCCAGAAGCTTCAACCAGGTTGACTAACAGGAATTCCAAGTACTAAGGTTCAAAACAGCTAGGAGACCAAAGTTTGGGAACCACTTTCCTAGATGGTGATGGGCATGAAGTCAAGCATGCCAAGCCAACTTGAGGATGCAAATGTATGACCAGACCTCCACCCATGGTCAGGTGCCTTCAAAAGCATATTCATAACTTTAGAGCAGGCATGGGCCAACTCTGGCCCTCCAGGTGTTTTGGACTTCAACTTCCACAATTCATAACAACATGAAGAACTGTATTTAGGGTTTGTGGCATTAGAAAGGTTCAGAAACACTGGGATAGAGGGATCTGGAGATCTTTCATTCCATCATAAGCTGACATCAACAGTTTACAGGCAAGAAGTGGTTGCCAAACCTTGCTTATCAAGGTGTTTTGAACTTCAAATTCCAGAAGCTTCAATCAGGTTGACTAACAGGAATTCTGAGTACTAAGGTCCAAAATACCTAGGAGACCAAAGGTTGGGAACCACTGTCCTAGATGGTGATGGGCATGAAGTTAAGCATGTCAAGCCAACTTGAGGGTGCAGATGTATGACCAGACCTTCACCCATGGTCAGGTGCCTAAAAAAGCATATTCATAACTTTAGAGCAGGCATGGGCCAACTCTGGCCCTCCAGGTGTTTTGGACTTCAACATCCACAATTCCTAACAACATGAGGAACTGTACCGAGGAGACCAAAGTTTGGGAACCACTGTCCTAGATGGTGATGGGCATGAAGTCGAGCATGTCAAGACAACTTGCGGATGCAGATGTACGAGGGTTCAATGAAAAGTAATGCCTCCACCTTCGTTACTTGGATTTGGATGGGAATATTTTAATAAATCAAACACAGAAATGATCCTTAGAATGTGCTCTTTAATAGGCCTGGGTAACAATGGAAAAATTTGTTTCTAAAATCGATTCGTTTTTTGGGGTTTTTTGCGTTTCGTTATTTAAAATAATTACAAAATTTTCCTTTTAAAAAGTTCGATATTTACGAAATTTCATAAATGTGAAAAAATTACAAAACATTAACGAATCGATTTCCGAAACAATAACGAATCGATTCGTTAATGGCGGACGCGACCGCGAAATACGCTAAAAAACCTCCAAAAAACTTCTGAAGCTTCCCTCTCCCTCTGTTGTTGACTGTTGGTGTGATATTATAATTTTTTTTCACTAATTAAAAAAAAAACTATAAAACTTGCCCCAGACATGCGGAAATAATAACGAAACGACCTCAAACCAATAACGAAACGAATACATAATGAAATACGAAGCATTTACGAAAATAACGAAATACGAAGCATTTACAAAACTATTTAAAAATTCGTTTTTTTAAAAAATTGCTCCAGAATGGTTCGTTATCGTTTTGTAATTGAAAAAATTAACGAATTATTAATGAATTACGAATTAACGAAACAAAACCGCCCAGCCCTACTCTTTAACTACCACTATTCACTTTTCCACATAATCACCAGACCATTGGATACCATTCTGCCAACAATGAACAAGTTTTCTGAATCCATCACTGAAGAAGTTGATACTCTATTTGTGCAACCCATCGTGCACAGATCTTCAGTAGCCAAGCAAGGCAATAATGTGACCCACACATTCTTGTGATATGCTGATTATACTTGAAATTTCTCTCTTAGTGATACGATGATTGTCCTGAATCAATCTGTCAAACATTTGCTTGTAAAACTCGGTGGTTGCTGTCACAGGACATCCAACTCTTTGTTTGTCATGCAAGTCAGATGTTCCCACATCTTTAAACTTACTTGCCCAACGATGCACTGTACTCACATCAACACAATCACCATAATCAGCTTGCATTCTCTGATGAATCCCCTTTGGGGTGACACCTTCTGTTGTCAAGAATTCAAGACTGTACATTGCTTAAGTCGCATTGACCGACCATCTGCGCAGGGTTCCATACTTCACACTTTAACAACACAACGGTTCAATGCTAAGGCTTCCCACCAAAATGGAACTGTAGAGGAGAGTCTACCGAACAAGCCAGTACCTGCCACATACCAGTACTGCTATCTGTTGAGAGGTTACAAAGGTGGAGGCATTACTTTTCATTCAACCCTCGTAAATGCAATCTAGAAAGTGAAACACAACATCCTTATTACTGTTCCCAGTTTAATATTTCTGATTTTTCATTTTTCAGCCATGTCTGGAGAACAGAAACATCAGGGAGATCCAATGCACCTCGTACAACAACAAACCGTTCATGGGTCGCTTCTACGAATGGGAACCGTTTGCGGAAGGTAAGTGGAGGCAAATCTCCATATTTTTCTTCTGCGGTAGCAATGATTTCCTAATCTTCTTTTGGAATATATTGACTGGCATCCTTTCAGAGAGTCACCATTAGAGTAGACCCATTCAGTCAATACAGTGATTGCTGTATAAATAAATCTAATTCCAGGAAATAATAATACACGCACAAAATGCTAGTTGTTCCTCTGTGTACATTTTTCTGCGCAGAATAAGTTCTAAACTGCAATTTTTCATTGGTTCAGGATTCTTTTTGTCAGATTGTCTTGACACTGCAAAAAAACATGCTTTTCAACATTTTGTGATTGTTTTGGTGATTTGGTTCCAGGACTTCCTTTGGATACCAAACTTGGTGAATGCTCACGTCCTATTATGGATTAATGTGATGCAGAAAATATATGATATATGGTTTGAATGGAATTGTATGAAATATCTGTGGTTGGAACCTAATTGGACTGAAGACACAATTCTAAAATATTGAGGCCTGGAAAACAACTACACCCAGGAACTGTAATTAAAACCTGCTAATGAGAACTAAAATGGTTGACCTGCCATAGTAAACTGTGATAAGAACTGTGACAGTGATAATATAAATGTTTACATCTGTCAACATTTATTGACCAAAACCCAATATCTGTTAAGAGAGGAAATCAAGAGAGGAAATCAATAACATTTACCAACACCAATTAGGAAGAGTCAACATTTGCCAGGAAACTGGGTTGCCAGGATGTTTCAGACTGGAAAAACATATATCGTCAAAGGCTTTCATGGCTAGAATTACTGGGTTGTTGTAGTTTTTTTCGGGCTGTATAGCCATGGTCTAGAGGCATTCTCTCCTGACGTTTCGCCTGCATCTATGGCAAGCATCCTCAGAGGTAGTGAGGTCTGCTGGAACTAGGAAAAAGGGTTTATATATCTGTGGAATGACCAGGGTGAGACAAAGGACTCTTTTCTGCTGGAGCTAGGTGTGAATGTTTCAACTGACCACCTTAATTAGCATACAATGGGCTGACTGTGCCTGGAGCAAACTTTTGCTGAGAGGTAATTAGATGTCCTTGTTTGTTTCCTCTCTGTTGTTGTGCTGTTCTAATTTTAGAGTTTTTTAATACTGGTAGCCAGATTTTGTTCATTTTCATGGTCTCTTCCTTTCTGTTGAAATTGTCCACATGCTTGTGGATTTCAATGGCTTCTCTGTGTAGTCTGACATGGTGGTTGTGAGAGTGGTCCAGCATTTCTGTGTTCTCAAATAATATGCTGTGTCCAGGCTGGTTCATCAGGTGCTCTGCTATGGCTGACTTCTCTGGTTGAAGTAGTCTGCAGTGCCTTTCATGTTCCTTGATTCGTGTTTGGGCGCTGCGTTTGGTGGTTCCTATGTAGATGAAACATTCACACCTAGCTCCAGCAGAAAAGAGTCCTTTGTCCCACCCTGGTCATTCCACAGATATATAAACCCTTTTTCCTAGTTCCAACAGACCTCACTACCTCTGAGGATGCTTGCCTTAGATGGAGGCGAAACGTCAGGAGAGAATGCCTCTAGACCATGGCCATACAGCCTGAAAAAACCTACAACAACCCAAAACATATATAATTAATTTACAACTTTGGAACAACATCAGCAAGAAAAATTGCTATATAAGAGACCTTATTACAATCCAAAAATCATGACAGATAACAGTGCTGTTCTCCTGCCATGCTCTGCTCCCTGGATAGGAGAGAGATGGTGTATGTATTTGGGACTGACAAATTTGCAATGGAAAGCAGAAGTCTGTTTAGTTGCTTCTTTTTTGGGGAAAGGGAAAGAGGAGGCATTTTGGAAGTATTGGAAAGCAGGTAGCAGTATGGACTAAGAGATGTTCTTCTCCAGGAGACAATGGGAGAAATTGTGATGTATGAATGAGAATGAATGAATGTGAATGGATAATGTGAATGAAATTTCCCTTTGTTTGTTTGTTAGCCAGTAACTGCAGATTGTTTGTGAATTCAATGTACAGGGGTTGAATGAAAAGTAATGCCTCCAGTTTTGTAACTCCTCAACAGATGGCAGTACTGATATGCGGCGGGTACTGGCTTGTTCAGTAGACTCCTCTACAGTTCCATTTTGGCGGGAAGCCTTAGCATTGAATGGTTGTGTTGTTAAAGTGTGAAGTATGGAACCCTGCACAGATGGTCGGTCAATGTAGCTTCGATGTGGTATCTCTATTTACCATGGTCCCGGTAGCAGACACCATGGCACTCATCAACCAGAGGTTCCCAGAAGACATCACGGCTCTGTTTCACCATTGCCTCACCACCAGTTACTTTCAGTGGGACAATGAATTCTATGAACAGAAAGATGGAGTAGCTATGGGGAGCCCTCTCAGCCCGGTCATAGCTAACTTCTACATGGAACACTTTGAAAAACAAGCCCTGGAGACAGCAACCAAAAAGCCCACGATATGGTTCAGATATGTGGATGACACTTTCACCATTTGGAGCCATGGAGAAGAAGAACTCAACAGGTTCCTGGACCATCTGAACAGCATCCACCCAAACATCCAGTTCACCATGGAAAAAGAAAATGAAGGAAGACTGCCTTTTCTAGATGTCCTAGTCATCCGCAAACCAGATCAACAATTGGGTCACACCGTCTACAGAAAACCCACACACACAGATAGATATCTACATAAAAACTCCAACCATCACCCAAGTCAAAAAAGAAGCACCATTAAAGCCTTGGCAGACCGTGCAAAAGAATCTGCGAACCCCACCTCCTCCAAGATGAACTGAACCACCTCAACTGGGCTCTCCAGGCCAATGGAGACTCCACTCAGACATCAGAAGAGCTGCAAGACCAAGAACAAGCCACGAGAGTAAAGATGAAGATCCACCCAGAGGAAAAGTGTTCCTGCCATACATCAAGGGAACCACTGACCGCATAGGGAAGCTGATGAGGAAACACAACATACAAACAATCTACAAACCCACCAAGAAAATCCAACAAATGCAACGTTCAGCAAAGGACAAGAGGGATCCTCTCACCTCTGCAGGAGTCTACCGTATACCATGCAGCTGTGGACAAGTCTACATAGGGACCACCAAACGCAGCGCCCAAACACGAATCAAGGAACATGAAAGGCACTGCAGACTACTTCAACCAGAGAAGTCAGCCATAGCAGAGCACCTGATGAACCAGCCTGGACACAGCATATTATTTGCGAACACAGATATGCTGGACCACACCAACAACCACCATGTCAGACTACACAGAGAAGCCATTGAAATCCACAAGCATGTGGACAATTTCAACAGAAAGGAAGAGACCATGAAAATGAACAAAATCTGGCTACCAGTATTAAAAAACTCTAAAATTACAACAGCAAAACAACAGAGAGGAAACAACCAGGCACAGATTAACACCTCCCAGCAAGAGATTTTCCCAGGCTCAGGCAGGCCTTCAAATGCTAATGAAGGTGGTCAGTTGAAACATTCACACCTAGCTCCAGCAGAGAAGAGCTCTGTGCCCCACCCCAGTCATTCCACAGATATATAAAACCCATTTTCCTAATTCCAACAGACCTCACTACCTCTGAGGATGCTTGCCATAGATGCAGGCGAAACGTCAGGAGAAATGCCTCTAGAACATGGCTCTATAGCCCGAAAAAACCCACAAGAACCTAGTGATTCCAGCCATGAAAGCCTTCGACAATACCTGCACAGATGGTTGGTCAATGCGGCTTAAGCAACGTGCAGTCATTGAATTCATGACAGCAGAAGGTGTTACCTCAAAGGAGATTTATCAGAGAATGCAAGCTGTTTATGGTGATTGTGTTGATGTGAGTACTGTGTGCATCGTTGGGTGAGTAAGTTTAAAGATGTTGAGGTGGGACCATCTGACTTGCGTGACAAAGAGTTGGACGTCCTGTGACTGCAACCACCGAGTTTCACAAGCAAAAGTCGGGTGAGATAAAGGAGAAGCAGGCTATTTGTGGAGGAGGGCTCATTATAGCGGGGGTTGTGGAATATGCCCAAATGTGAAAACTGGCGGAATTTGTGGAAAACAGACCTTGACATTTGGGAATTGTAATTATTATTATTATTATTATTATTATTATTATTATTATTATTTCGAGCTTTTGTAACCCGGTCTTCTCGACCTCTGCAGAGGGACTCAGGCCGGCTAACAGCAGAGGGTTAAAATACAATAAGATAAACCACAGTAAACACCATAATACAATAGTACAGTGGTTCTCAACCTTCCTAATGCCACAACCCCTTAATACAGTTCCTCATGTTGTGGTGACCCCCAACCATAACCGTAACATTATGAATCGCCATGTAAATAATTATCTGCAGGATGTATTTTCATTCACTGGAGCAAATTTGGCACGAATACCCGGTATGCCCAAATTTGAATACTGGTGGGGTTGGCGCTGGGATTGATTTTGTCATTTGGGAGTTGTAGTTGCTGGGATGTATAGTTAACATGTAAACAAAGAGCATTCCGAACCCCACCAACAATGGAATTGAACCAAATTTGGCACAGAGAACTCCCATGCTCAACAGAAAATACTGGAAGGGTTTGGTGGGCATTGACCTTGAGTTTGGGAGTTGTAGTTCGCCTACATCCAGAGAGCACTGTGGGCTCAAACAATGATGGATCTGGACCAAACTTGGCACGGATACTCAATATGCCCAAATGTGAACACTGATGGGGTTTGGGGAATCTAGACTTTGACATTTGGGAGTTGTAGATACTGGGATTTATAGTTCACCTACAATCAAGGAGCGTTCTGAACTCCACCAATGATAGAATTGGGCCAAACTTCTCACACAGAACCCCCATGACCAACAGAAAATACTGTTTTCTGATGGTCTTTGGCGACCCCTCTGACACCCTTTCATGACCCCTCCAGGGATCCCGACCCCCAGGTGAGAAACACTGCAATAGTACAAAAATACATTAAAATACAATTATACAACTTACAAAAGGTCAGTTCGTCAGAATAAATCATAA